CCTCAGGCACACACACACACACACACACACACACACAAGCATGGGCACACATCCGTTCCCCTTACTTATTTTTTGATGTTTGTATTATAGGCATTTAGCTGATGAGCTCATCCAAAGCAGCTTTCTTTCTTCCACGGCTTGTCTTTGATCATCACCGTGGTGCCTTCCCTTGGATATAAAGTGTGCCACCCTTGAGAGAATATCCCTGACCTGACATGGTGTAGAAAGGAGCTCGAAGACCAAAGGCTTCTTCTTGACCCATACTTTTCATTTTGCATTTTTGCTAAGCATGCTGCCTGAGGTCAGTCTGGTTTTCATCTCACACTCCAGACTCCAGTCTTCAAAAACTGAAACAACAAGCTACACAAGTCTCCAGGTAGATGCTGCACTCCCATGCAGCTACTTGGCACCTTTCCTGCTGAGCTTACACTGAGAAGCTATCACAGTCGTCATTAAGGCTGCAGAGGAAAAAAATGTGGTCTGATATGTTTGTAGCATTTTTGAAGGTGATATGAGATGCATTTAAACAAGATTTGTACATGCTGAAAATGAACAGCCTGAGATGGCTATGTGATAAATGTAAGTTAATTTTAATGTAGTCTTAAAACTGCACTATTTAGATATTTACATTAACAGAGGCTCAAATGATGAAGTGGAATGTGAGAAGGGTCATTCATTGTGACAAATCACAGAGAATTATCACTAGACTCTGCAGTTCTGTTCTGTTTCACAAAGCTTATTGTTTTCTTTGTTTTTTTTCTTTTGACGTACAAATTAAGCAGTTAACTACAGAGCCAAATGCTTTACTCAGTGGAGACCAATGCGTAGCTAAAAGGAAAGTTAATACTTCATTAGGTGGACACAAGAATGTCTATAAATGCATGTTAGTGAGCATTTCTCCTTTTCCAAGATAATCCTTTCATCTGACAGGTGTGGCATATCAGGATGCTGATTAAACAGCAGCATTACTACACAGGTGTGCCTTGGAATGATCACAGTATAAGGACACTCTAAAATGTGCAGTTTGATCACACTACAGTGGGGCTGCCCCTGACTAAGAATTTTCTTAGTTGACCTAGCTAGGTCTAGTTAGTCGACTAGTTGCTCGCAGGTTTACAATATTAATTTGATTTTGAAATTCTATATTTTGGGCAGGGCAACACAATAGTTTGAGTTCAAGGTCTGAGAAAGAATAGTGTAAGTAACATTGTTAACACTTTGCTACAGTACAGAGAAATACAAAACCGTACTAATGAACCTTAACTGATATAGGCCTATATTTTATCTACAATCACACATCACACACTGAGCGAACTACTTGTTAATTACGCTATCAGCAAAGCAATAATGATTGTGCTAAGCGGCTAATGGGCATGTAGCTACTTAAGTGTAGCTGATGTAATCATCTGATACATCATCTTTGTAGTCAACGAATGATGGGCAAATGAATGCCTGCAGTTTACATATCACCTTGGTTTTGTCCTTCACCTTCTCAAAATGATCCCACCCTTTGGATTTCCTGCCTGACATATTATTAACTAGCTCATGTAATAACCACAGGTACCAGCCCTGTAAATTAATGTGACTCCTGTCTGACTGCTGAACGTGGCCACTTCCTGTGTCTGTCCTTTCAAATTAAATTCTCACATGGTCCATTCAAATGGCTCATCCAGATCCAGTTGGTCAAAATTGGGTAAAAATTCAGCCATGACTACTCCAAACAGAGTAACTCCTCGCGTTTGTAAGGTCAGTCCAGCGGTTACTTCCTGCAACAACTCAAATCTCACGAGACGTGAGATTTCAGAGCCAGACTTTCACTCTCTGAATGTTTTGACTTGCCACAACAAACATGTCCGAATTTTTACCCAATTTTGACCAGCTGGATCTGGATGAGCCATTTGAATTTGATGACCACCCGTATTTATTTGAACACGGAGTACACGGACATACACGGATGTAGAGCTCATTGAAATTGAAGAGCGGACGAGGAGAGAGAGGGAGCAGTGTTACTTTGAACATGTCCGAATCCAGCTAAAGGTAAACACAGACATTCATTTCTCTTTTCCGTTATTTTGTTGGATAATTATACTAACAATCCGAGCCTATCTGTGTGAAAAAAATGCACTTTGAGTGGCCGTATTTTGACGTTGTTTGACGTTGTCTGAGTGCCCTATTATTTAATATACCGCGCGCTCACGGGCTGCAGACAGGTCAGCCCTAGTTTCGTACTAGAGAAATGTCAAATATTGAACATCCTATCACTAATTTAGACAAAAGTAGATCGGAAAATAGGTCCCAGGTTGAAAAAAAACATTAGTTCCCCTTTAAACCTGTGAACGATAGCAGCAAAAACAAAAGTGCTGCATTTAATTTTTTGTTCAGTGTATTTAAGTTTGTAATCTGTCAAGAATATATGGTGTATCCACTTACATTATGTTCTTACCCACCAATAACAATACAAAGATTAATAAAAATGTGTCAATATTTTAATAGATTGAGACCAGCTTGTTGCAAAGTGAGTCTGGACTAACACAAAACGTGTTTCTACATCTCATCCCTGTAGCTGCTTCACAATAAATACCTTCAGTAATACTTCTTTGCTTCTTGCTTTGATTTTGTTAGATTTCCACCAGCTGGAAGGCTTTTATAGTAAAGCAGCTGCAGGCATGTGACATACAAAGCACAAGGAAATGTTGAGGTAGCCTGAAATACTAATTTACCGTTAAATAAAAGTGAATCTTAATTTCTATTTGTACATTTTTATTCAGTTGAAAGTTTTAGTTAGACATTTTACTGTGGCGGTCTCTGAATATCTCCAAACCTTTCTTTTTTAAAATCTCGTACAGAAAGTTTTGTATGGATTGGTGCCACATGAGGTCTTGAATTACTGAAATTACCAGTCCTGTTAGGAGCTGCACAAAAGCTGAACATCGTTAAAATCTTTCCAGGTATTTTGTGCAGTGCATTCCAAGTTTTTGGGTCCAAAAGTGTCATGTTTACTTGCCTATTTCTGTATTTCCTTTCCTATTAAATTTCTCAATATTTGTGTGAAAAATAGAGAGAGGTAAATATTGGTCTTCAGGACCCACAATGCAGAAGCACAGTGATGATGCTGCTTTAGACATTCAGAGAACATGGGGGGATTTTATGCATTTTTTGGTAAAAAAAAAAAAAAAAAAAAAGACAGCCCCATTACCTTCAGTACTTTGAGAAAGAAATACAGGCGCTCTGCAGGCTTTAATAGGAATTTGATCGAAAATAATGATTGAATTTTTATTTTAGAGCAAATATTCCTTCAACCTTGGTTTATCTAGGAACGTTACTTCAAATGCCAAAGTCTGACGAAAAGCAATCGAAAACATCTTTTGATTGTGCGGTGGCGTGTGTGTCCGTGTGCCTTTTGTGGAGGTGCAGCCCCTCATTTACGGGGCTTTTTTGGTGTCTGCTTGACAACTAAACACAAGCCCTTCTGCCAAACAAATGGGAGCTGTGTTGGGGAGAGGGGGCGTCCCCGGCCCAAACTGCAGAGACGGGCACTCTTTGACAGCTGCTTTCATCTTGTTATTATTCCTCCTTCACACTCAAGGATTTTTGGGCTTCCTAAAGTATTTCTGTCGCTCTCTCCTTCCTCTCCCTCCCTCTATCCCCCCACTCTTTCTCTCTTTCTGTCACCGGGCTGTGATTGGCTGTTATGACAGGGCCGTCGCCGGGCTGTCAGCCTCTTCTAAAGCTCAGTTTAATTACTCCTTTTCACTAACATGACACGTTCATGCACAGATGCATGCAAACTTGCACACATGAGGGAAAGTCACTCACAAACACACATGCTGACACACAAACCGATGTGCTCAGCTGCACGCCATGCCATCCTAGCAGTATTTAAAAAAAAAAATTTAAAAATTCCATGGTGATTGAACTCACCGTCAGCCACTCTACCTGACAAAGCAGACCCCCAGATGTTTGTCAGTGTTGGCTCTCTGTTTCCTCAGCGGAGCTTTGAAAACATCATGTAGATTTGTGAAGGGCCGGCCGCCGCTGGGTTTGATGGGCACAGATCGATTGTGCGCCCTGCTGTGCCAGGCTCTGAATAGCCAATTAAAGCCATTGAGACAGAGGAGAAAATGGGGGGTGATATGAAGGAGTGGGTGTTTGATTAGAGGAGGATGATGAGAGAGAAAGGGGGAAACATGCGGCGGCGGTTGCCATAGCCCGTAAATGTTTAATATTCTGCATCGTAAACTTCACAATGATCACTCTTTCTGATTTCCCTCCTCATCATTTCTCCAGATAAAGATTCCTTGACGGATGCATTCAGCCATGCTTCCATAAACAGAAGACAGCAGTGTACTGGGTTGAGACCTTGACTGATGGAGGGAAGCTAAGACAGATGTACAGATTTGCTAGAAATGAAGGGAAAGACAATGAGAAAGCCATGTCGCATGTGAATGCCAAGAAGTCTGGGATGAGTTTCATATCCAGTCCTCAATTTTCCCTCTCCTCCTTGTCCCTCCCCACTCCGTCTGCCACCCGGCTCTCCTTCATTTCCTTCCTCTCACCCCTTCCCCTACATCTCCCCTTTCCATATCCTTCCATTTTCTATTTCTATATATCCTTCTTTCCTTGTCTTTTTTCCTTTGCTTTTCTTTCATGCCTTTACCACTTTCACCTCCTGCTTCCTAATTCTGCTTCCTAATTCTCACCTCTACTTCTCCTCCCCTCATCTTTTCTTCTATGCCCTCTCTATCCCCCTCTCTATTCCCTCACATAATTCAACTTCATACCTCCTGCTTTGTTCACCCTCATCTGACTTTCTTCATCAAATTTTGCCTCCTCTCTCCTTTCTCCTTGTCACTCCCCAATCACTCCCATCTTCCCTTTTTTTCATGTTCCTTGCTTCTCCTTAAGTTTTTCTGCCATTATTTTCCTCCTTCCCTCCCCACTTTCTCCCCATCTCTTTCCTTTTGTTCACCTCTTTACTTCCCCCTCTCCTCTTCTTCCAGGTACCCTGCCCTATGACATCAAGATAGTAATTGCCGGAAATCATGAGTTGACCTTCGACCAGGAGTTTATGGCTGACCTGATCAAGCAGGACTTCTACTACTTCCCTTCTGCCTCCAAGTTGAAGCCTGAGAGTTATGAGAACGTCCAGTCACTGCTCACCAACTGCATCTATTTGCAGGACTCTGAGGTCACTGTGCGGGGCTTCAGAATCTACGGCTCCCCCTGGTGAGTAACCTCTGCCACTGCACTACACACGAGCCAATGCCTTGTACTGCAAACATTCTTCATTGAGGTTTCACTTTGATGTGACATTTATTGGCATCAGCTTCTAAGAAAATACACTCATATTATCAAATTGCACAATATTTTTGCCTTATGTTTCAAGGTTGCACTTTGCAACCTAAATTTCTTTCCGATAGTGTCTTGTATGAGAGAAATGGTCAGTGACACATTTTGGTAGCCATTGTTGATTAATCCAGATGTCTATGTCTGGAGTGCTTGCTTGTTTTTAGTTTTTAGTTTTTAGTTTTTTTTTCTTTCTGTGCGCAGAAAACATTTACCACAGGTAAAAAACAACAAACTTCTGAAAAAAAAATCCCTCTTAAAGTCAGCACGTACTCATTGTCTTGTAGCACTGCACCCTTTGCTTGCGTCATTTGACGCTCATATAGCATGCATCAGAATGTCATACAGATAGATGAGCTTCAACCCAAGGAAAATAGGAGAATGGCAGATCTTGATGCATTTTCCCTTTCACCAAAAACTATAGCTGCCGATCTTTTGGTGTGTGATGCTGTGATTATCGTTTCTCCCCATTCTCTGCTGTATTGAGCTTGGTGCCTCCTTGTGGGGAGTGAAGATGATATTCAACCCTCCCATAAAAATCCATTATTGGTTTAAAAGATGTGCTTTTCATCTAGATAAAGGTAACATCTAAACAAGTTTATATTATTATTTATCCAAACCACTTGTATCCAGATATTGTGGGATGGTTAAGTCGTCTGACTATGGTACAGGTTTATTGTGTCAAAAGCTAGTTTTATAACCATTATTTTAGTTCTGTGTTAATATTTCACATATTCCTAAATTAATTAGTGTTTAGTCAAATAACCACATGGCAAATGAGAGGCTAGCAATCCAACACCAGAAAAAATGTTGGCATTGTATGGTTCTGCAAACCACTTATATGTTACATTTGTACGTTACTATACATACTATACTAATATGTTGAAACTTTCAACAGCACTGTGGTTAACATGTGGTTAGGTAAAGGCACAAAAAACACTTAGCTATGGTTAGGAAAAGACCATGTGTGGGCTGTAAATGTCTGGTTTAGGGGGCACAGTACAGCCTGGAAATGCAGCGGTGTCTGAGTAAAAAAAAGACAACAACAACAAAAAACTTTCTAAGGCACTTTCCCAGTAGAAAACCCAACAATGGCTCAGCACTATTCCCAGTGGAAAAACAGTAACAGATCACTGAAAAACAGCCACATGTGGTGCCTTAAAATCTGCTGGAAAAACAGCAACAGGTCACTAGAACACAACTGGTTTTGTTATTTGTTGGTCTGGAACAGTGGTCTGCAGCTTGGCAGGCATCTCTCCTACGTGCCACACCATCCACCATTCCCTCCACTTCCAGATGACAAAGACAGCTCATACACAATGTTACTTTATAACCCTTTTCCACCCAAATTAGTGCATTTATGCAAATTTCTTAAACACAGGATAACCTGCTAATAATAGGCTATAGACTTCTTTCCCATTGCCAGTAGAACAGAGGTGTGTACACTGCTCTGCAGCAGACAAGTATGCCTTTTTGTGTATGATAGGGTGTTTTTTTATGCGTCACATTTGATGTCAAGGGCAGGCTGGAAAACAGGTAAGTAAACAATAGAAAACAGCATGGAGACCTGTGAAAACTTAATGGTGGTTACTTGCTTTTATATAGCTCTTACTAATTCAGTCTGTCTGTCAAACTCCGTGCTGGCTAATTTGGGTCAATGTTTGAGCACTGTTTGGGCGGAGATGGATGGTAATTTGTGGTGGCACGTCATTGCATCTCACCAGTTAAGGGGCCAAAATGAGCATATTCAGCAGGCTGTTGTGTCTCCATAACTTCCGATTATAACTGGAGTCGATAAATACCTGTAGCTACTGCAGAGTCATTAGATCTAGGTGTGAATGCTGATTTAACCCTTTCACATTATATTAAATGGCCAGATGTTCGTGGGTTGTTTTGTGCAGTAGAAAAGGGTCCTTAGAAATGATTATTGAAGCATATAGAATGTGGAAATGTAACATATTTGTGGTTTACAGAAACATCATTTTTTTCTGCTGACTGGGCCAGAGGCTAAGTTGCATTCCACTGTATAAAATCCGTACACACTGCACAATGTGTTGGGGATAAATTGAGGCAGTAGTGGCCCGGCAGCCCATTCTTGCCATGGGCCCCATTGCAGGGTAATACGACCATGTCTTGATGCCAAAGTAAAAATGTTGATATCGTGACAATGTGCTCCTACTGTTCTCTCTTTTACTTTATTTGTGCATCTTTGAATCACTGAAATTAATAATTTATTTGCTTCTTTATTTAACTTGGACTTACACTGCTTTCTTTTTTTCTAACGCAACTCCTTGTGGACAGGCTGCTGCTTTTCCAGTGTGTGTGTGTGTGTGTGTGTGTGTGTGTGTGTGAGGGTGAATGTGTACTGTAAGTGGTTAGGTAGTGGTCCATGATCGTCTTTGTGTGTGTGTGTGTGTGTGTGTGTGTGTGTGTTTTGGGGACAGACTCCCAGGGGCAATGTTTCAGTGTGTATGTGTGTTTGTGTGTGTGTGTATGTGTGCCCCCAGTGCTGGGTAATTGGTTTGCTGTGATAGCAGGGTCCCCTGAGTTTATTGCTCAAGCCACTGCAGAGAGCTGCCTGAGGTGGACCGACAAGAAGATGAAGATAGAAAAGAAGAAGGGACAGACGAGGAAAGGGAGGGAGAAAAAGTGAAAGGGGCAGGAGACAAAGGAGTGATATACAAAAGAAGGAAGAGGTGGTGACAGATGAAGAGAAAGAGACAGACAGACAGAGGGAGGGAGGGATGGAGATTTAGGAGGAGATGATTTTATTCAGATTCATCAGCTGGCCCTGGCTGGTGTAATGGGCACAGGAGGTGACGAGTTTGTGTGCGTGTGTGTGTGTGGTGTGTGTGTGTGTAAGAATATCTCTGTCTGAATGTGTGCTGTGGGTTTGTGAGTGTGTGCACTTGTGTGTGCTCTCACTTGCTTTGGACTACATGCTGGCGTGCATGTGTGTGTGTGTGTGTGTGTGTGTGTGCCTCGGGTTGTGTTCCTGCAGCGCAGAGGGGCTCCAGCTGGAGGCTCCGTGTGCCCCCCCCCCCGCACTGTCTGCTCCCCTCTTCCCTCTTTCCTTTTCTTTCCTTACCTCCTTCATCTATCTGTCTCTGCTTCCTGCCATTCTTCATTCTTACCTTCTCCCTCTGTCCCTCTCCATCTGTCCTTCTCTCCTTGCCTTATTCAATTATCCCTTCTTCTATCCTTCTTTCTTCTCCTTTTCTTCCATATGCAAATATCTCCACCTCCTTTCCTTCCTCCAACAGTAAAGTCCTATGTCCTCTGCTCCCTAAACTCTCTCGCTCCTTCCCGCCCCTGTCCCTCACCTCCCCAATCACTTCATGGGCTCTGCATGTACATGGATGACACACATAGCAGCCACCTCCTCCACCACATACTCCACTCTCTGGCAGGAGTAGAGGGATGGTGCATTTTTGCAGTCCCTCCGTCGCCATGGCGATGCCAGGCCGCCGCTGTTTTATGGCCTGTGGATTTCTATAACCCCCCCCCCAACTATAACCACTATCACCATTACCTCCACCACCCTGAGGTGCTACCCAACTGTCTGACCGCCTGATTATCTGAGGGCTTATCAGTTGTCCGTCTGTCTCTCTGGACCTGAACTAATAGGAAGTGACTCTATTTTGACTCTATTAAGTGATTCTAATTTCTGACTTTAAGGTACACCATCCTAAATTGATTGCCTTTAATTTACAGCACCGTAACCTAGGTAAACAGATGAAAAAACAAAAACAGGTGAAGTGATTTTACCCACTTCAAGTGTTATCCCTTGATTCAATGGCTGGTCATAGATTGTCAGCCTCATAGATCTTTAAGAGACCTGCTACCCTTACTAGTAGGTGCTGTCCATGTACGGAGGAGACTGGAGTTGTGGATGGGTCAAACACACAGGACTTTTACCTGGGACAAGGGGGTTCATGTCTCATATGAAATCCAAAGACAGCGCTGGCTTATTTTAGCTGATGTACATATTTCACAAGATGCATCATGTCAAGAAGACCTGTCATGATAATTGTTATTATTTTTTGACTTATCATATGATATAAGGACATGACCTTCATCATTTTGCTTACCTTGATATTGACTTTTTTGTTGACACACGTTTCATCAAATAAGAATGTCACCAACATTTTAGCCAACATGATGCCAGAATAAACAGTAGGGTTTTCTCCATCATTTGAAGACTTGGGTGCAGAAATCCTTTTATCTCTCCACCTTGTGTACTTGCTTGAGTCCAAATGAAAAAAAAAAACACTTCAAAGACAACACAGTGTAGCTTACCGTTAGCCTGCAACTGCACTTTTAAAGTGGAAGACACACAATCCTTATAGTCGTTAGCTTGCCAACCCTTGGCGACAAGACAAAAGTCCATCGTTTGTAGTTTTACCCTCCAACTACTTCATCCTCCACTCCATAAATCTAGCAGCAAAGTGCCCGGCTCGTAGGACATCCATCCACGGGAGCCCACTGTAGCACACCAGCCAGATTATGGAGGTAACTGCGGGGTTTCAGGACCTTCATTAAGTTTGTCTGTTAGTCGCAAGAGGCATTGATCGGTTTTGTTTTTGTTTGCCAAATTTTACATGAAGTCCCATACTGAGTAATTTTGGGCTACTCCTATAAAGGTATTCCATACTTTCTTGTATGTATTAACAGGTGGTGATTACTTTTAAAATAATATTTTTAACATTTTTTCATGTTGCAATTATAATATCTGAATATTCTTGAGAATTACAAGGTGTATTGAAAAGGTATATTTGCATTATTGTGCTATTATATTATCATTATATCAGTGGCCTAAAATGGTCTCAAAATGACAACAATACTGTTTATTGCAAGTAATTCTGGGACAATACATTGTC